TGAGCCATCCAGGCACTCCAGAAAGCTATTTTTTTTTAAAAAAGATGATTTCAGGGATGTCTGGATGGCTCAGTTGGTTAAGCATTGGCCTTCTGCTCAGGTCAGGCCCCAGGAGTCCTGGGATCAAGCCCCGGGGGTGGGCTCCCTGGTCGGCAGGAAGTCTGCTTCTTCCTCTCCCTCTGCCCCTCCCCCTGCTCATGCTCTCTATCTCATGTTCTCTCTCTCTCTCTCTCTCTCTCTCTGTCAAATAAATAAATAAAATTTTTTAAAAATTAAAGAATTAATAGAAATCATTTAAAAAATAACAGGAGAGACAAAGCCACATCAACAAGTGAGCAGAACTTTTTAAATATCTCAGCCCCTGTCCATGTGCATTAGGCCATATGCTTTGGAGAGAAATATATTAATGCAGCTTTTCACCATGAATGGTAGTAATAGTCATCATGTGTTGGGTACTCACCACAGCCATCACTCCATTAAATATTTGAGGAGGATTTTCTAATTAGATGCTCAAAACAGTCCTATGCAGTAGGTATTGTTATTACTTCCAGACTCCCTTGCACCAAAGTCAGGGAGCTGAAGAGCTGCTCCAGACCCTTCAAGCATCGCGCTAACCCTCATTCGTAGTGCGCAAATGGGAAGGATATTTAGGTCCCGTACATTTGCATCGAAAAGCAAAAAACCATTTCTGAGTTTACCATTTATTTTTCAAGGACGATTTTACTACTTCAGTGCCACTATTTGGTCGGCCTCCATAAGAGTGTGCAGAAATTAATAGTTACAAAGAGAAAGGATTTCCCTTTCTGGAAAAACCTCTCATAATCTTTTTTTTTTTTTTTTTGGTAGAGAGGATCGGAGGTATTGCATTAAAATTGCAATTGTGTACAGATGCTTTACAAATACCTCTAGGTAACTATGCTTGAACATCTAGGAAAGTAAAATATCCCTGGAAGTGATCTAATCTAAAACCAAGCCCTCTGACTGTAAGATGAAAAGCAGAGGCCAAGAGAAGTTAAGGAACTTGTATGGGATTATCCAGAGATGCAAAGCCAGCAATGAATCTCAGGTCTCCTGATCATTAACCCAGAGGTCCTTCCATTTTTCCATTCTGCCTCCTAGCCTTAAAACAAAAGACTGGATGGGACAAACTGGGCTGGAAAAACATAGCATTGTTCTAATAAAACAATCCAGCAGGGCATCATTATTTAGCGCTCTTCCTTCTAGAACGAGAGGTGTCCCCATATTGAATGTATCCTGTATAGTTCGTATGAAGATGACGCTGCCTGGCAACAGCATCTCTATCCCATGTCCTGCCTGCCCTCGTTCACATCTTCCTCCATCACTTGGAAGGCATAGGTTTTTTAAAAAGTATTCATCACGGCAGCAAAGAATGTAAAAAGAGAACTGTCCTTTTCCACACACGTTTGGAAATTACATGCATGAAACCACCAGGCAGACATGAAATAGACAAATTTTTCATCCAGAATTTGGCAGCTTTGCTGAAAGCCCAATATCATGGTTAACGACATCACCACGTTATTTGCGAGGCGGGAATTACACAGCAAGCTGATCACTCTTCTGTTGGAGGTGGAGACTGGGCATTTTCCAGGGTTGTTTCCAAAATGATGGGATTGTTGCTTCCTGCCCCTTTACCCAACCTGCCTCTGAAATGGGCTGAAAGTCAAGGAACAGCAGGGAATTACTGGTCCTAAATGATCCTGACCAAATAATTGGCTTAAAAAAAGACATAAGTGTGATATGCCAAACTGTCAGAATGTCCTTCCAAATAGAAAGAAAAGAAAGGAGGTAGGCGAGAAGGAAATTCCTAGTTCCATTAACTTGCCATTCCCTTGGAAAAACTGAGATTATTTTTTCCCCTTACTCCCTTTCAGAAAACGTCTGTGCTTTGAGCTTGCCCAGTACCCTTCCAGCCCTTCCTCTGGTGTCATCACCAGCATCTTCCCTATTCTTTACTCATCTCCCTCTCCCAGGCCTTGTGATTCAGAAGGTGAGGTCCCCCTGTGATCTTCCCCCTCCCAGAGCATCGGGGTGGGCCTCAGGCACCATTATTACCAACCTATTTGTCCACGCCATTGATCCCTTACTAGTTCTAGAACAGGCATGGGATTCAAATGGATCACACGAGATTCAGGAATATGGGTGGACTATACGGAGGAAAAAAAGTTGAGCTGATAGGCTATACTTGGAGCTCTGGGGTAGGGTGGAGGGGCAAGAGCGCCGGTAGAAAAAAAACGTAGCTTAGAATGAAACCAGTAATGTGCAAAGCCAAGTGAACAGATCAAGAAAGAATGAGACAAATTCCTGGTGACAATGTTTGAGCACCCAGACCCAGCCATGAATCAACTGATCTCCTGTTTTACTCAAGCCATTCTGAACAGGGTTTATGTCACTTTTAAGCAAAATAGCCTTGACCAACACATCCTTCCTCTTAATTCAAAATCCAGTTTAATGGTCACCCCTCTTCTGTTTGGCCTTTCCTGAGGATCCCACATTGAGAGGTAGCTGTGTGCACTCTCCTTGGGCTATTTGTCTTTATAGCTACTTCTCTGATTGTACTTTTCATTCAGTATTGCGTTTCTGGCCAGGCTTTCAGGTTTAAGGTAGAGTTAATATCTTATTAATCACTGAATTTCTAATACTTGTCCAATGCCTCAGATAGGGTAGTCACTCAAAACACGTGTGTTGAATTGAATTGGATCCTAACTACTATTTCAGTGAACATAGCAGCCTTCAACAAGTTCCCATTACACTTAGAATAAAGTCCACAGTCCATCATGGGCCTACATGATCTGCCTGCCTCTCCTTATCTCACATCCTTCAACAGTGGCTCCATGCTTTTCCATGAGCACCCCAAGTCTGTCCCCAATTCAGAGTCTTTGCGTTTGCTATTCCTCTTTCCAAGAAGGCTCTTCTCCAAGATAATTGTAGCTATAGCTCTACTACATGCTGCATGGGCTCTACCCAATTGTCTCCATATCAGAGGACCTTTCTCTGACAATCTTATCCACAATAGCACCTCCACACTATATAACCCTTTCACCTGCTTTATCTTTTTTCATGCCCCTTATCAATGCCTGATGTGTAGTACATTTTTATTTCCCCACTTATCACTGTCCTCAACTCTACAATATACAAAGGCAGGAAATCGCTTTGTTTTGTTCACGATTGTATATACCTAGAGCCTAGGGATTCTGTGTCCTCAAAACAGTGGTTGTTATACATTTTGAAAATAAGCTTACATTCAAATGGATGGAAAAAAAAAAAGCAAACCCTAAAACTGAAGCCAACCTATGCAAGTGAACCTAAATGTATATTAAATTATAATGTAATCATCCTAGGGGGGAAAAATAGAATTAATTCTTGTAACTTTTAAACATGGTACTTTTAAACCTATAGAGAAATGCAGTCTGAAGATAAAAGTAATTATAGCAAAACATATTGAAAGGAACTTGGAGGTTTCCTTGTTGGTAGTGGTTCTGATGTAGTAATTAAAAATCACTGTGCATGTATTGTAGGATTCAGCCAAGAGGTAAATACAGTGATGCTGTTGGGAAACATGGTCCAAAATGTGGGAGAAGGGGTACAAAAACACAGAATGGAGAAAGGAAAAAAGAAACTTGTGATGTTGAATTAGAATTATGGGTATCAGTATGATGTCATTCTGTTCCCCAATTCTGCCTACAGAAAAAGTCGAAAAGAAATGGCATCCCAATAGCAATGGGCACACTTAGTGTTCAGATCTTGGTTTTTAAATACCATCCCCCATTAAAAGGAGCCAGGGTTCCTTGAAGAAATGACTGATTTCAGAGCGAGGGCAGGGAAAGTAGAAGACAATTCTAGAGCATAGATTTGTGCCAAAAATCAAGGAAATTCTGAAAGACTAGCTGGGCCCTGTCAAAAAAGATGAGCCAGCCTGAAAGGGTTCCCTCTGACCAAATATGGGACATATGAAAATCAGAAATCATAATAATGGCAAAAAAATTTTAACACATCAAACAGAAATAACCAACCAAGGGTCCACATTGAGATTTTTAGAAGTAAATAATACAGAAGAGGAGGGAAAGATCTTCACTATAGAAGAATACCAGATGATATCTGTAGAATGATAGATTCCCCCAAATCATCATTTTATAACCCCCAGGGGAAGAACTGATTCCGACAGGAGTCATCAATGAATGCTGAAACTACTGGGTGAAAGATATGGGGGGGGGGGCAGATTTGCACATGGTCTCACATTATTTATTAATTTCAAAAGGAAAAAGGTAACTTTCCAGTGCAGAGGTAAGTGACCAAGTTTATCACTGGACCAAGTAATCAAGTTTATCATTGCCAGTGATGAGACAAACAGATTTTATGTGCCTCCTGATGTGATACAACAGAAGGACACAACATCATCAATGTAATGCTCTTGCCAAAATCTTCTCACTGAATCTAAGCACTGAGTAAAGGATCAAACTCAGAAAATGGGATATTCTACAGGGCACCTGGCCTAGGCTCTTCAAAATCATCAATCTGAATGACAACTACAACAAAAAAGGCGGGGAACAGGGACATCTGGATGGCTCAGTCGGTTAAGGATCAGCCTTCGGCTCAGGTCATGATCCCAGGATCTTGGGAGTGAGTCCATGTCAGGTTTCCTGCTCAGCAGGGAGCCTGCTTCTCCCTCTGTGCCCCCCCAAACACCCCATCCTGTGCTCTCTCTCTCTTTCTCAAACAAATAAAATCTTTAGTAAAACGCAGGGGACTGACACCTAACAACCCACTGTGATATAAAAAACTTTAAGGAATCCTGGATTTATAATAAAAAAAGTTATGGAAAACATTTTGGGACTAAACAGAAATTTTTTAATATGGTATGAATTAATATTAATGTGTGTGTGTGTGTGTATTTACAGACAGAATGCATGAATCACAATGTCATGACGTATTTCAGTCCTGCTGATGTTGGAAGCATACAAGAAAACATGACTTCCACTTACCTCCCCAGTGGCATAAAAGTCATTGTTTTTATATTCAGGAAACAACAGGAAAAATTGAACTAATGCACTGCAAAAGAACAACAATAAAAAAAAAATCACATGGCATCAGAAGAGCTTAGTGCTATGCTAGCAGATCTAACCCTTTGACAATAGGTTTCTCATCTGAACTAAGATGCTATTAGGCTGTGAGGTCCAGTAGGTACTGTATTCAAAGTGTCATGTATGTGATATTCCACACTGTGGATGGTTAGGAAATAACTGTGAGCTTACTTTACCCATAAAAGTGAGTCAACACCCTGGGCAGGTTTCCAAATCTCTGGGTTACCAACCTGGACCATCTAGCTGTTGAGGGGACCCGTGAGCAAAGTGATATGGGCTTTCATCTATTATTATAGCACTTCTTGGAGGAAGTTCCACAAACCTTATGACCCTGTTAACCCGGGTTTGTGGCGAACTAATGAGAACCTTACTGGCTTACCAACCTCTTCCTATGGGGGAACCCTGAGCATTTCTAATGCGGTTCCCCAAATTTCAGCATTTTAATAACCCAAGAATAAAAAAGCTATAAAAAGGCCATAGTCTACAAGAAAACCACCAAATGGCCAGATTTGGAAGTAACGGTACAGTGGCATCTACGCTCAAAAAAACCACACTTCCTAAAGAATGCCAATCACCACTTCAATGAGTTATACAGAAATAGATTCAAACACTCAAGAAACGATTTCATAACAAGCAAGAAAAGGGTAGATTAGTGAATGACTTTCTACTTGACCAAAATCTTTCAAAAAGGAAACAAAACCTGTGAAACGTGGATGCTCTATGAGTGTGCTGACCCAGATCACGTTGTCTGAGAAGCTAGGCAGTGCCTTTGTTCCAGCTTCCTGCTGAGGGACTAAAAGCCATGAACTATCCAGCAAAGATGAAAAGCAAGAAGGCCCCGCAAAACCAGGAGGAGGAGAGAGTTCAAGGGTTATAGGGAGGCAAAACTGGGTCATCATAGTCCCCGTGATCCTGGCTGTACTTAATTTTCAAAGGCTCCATAAACATCCACCATTAAAAACCACTTTAGAGCTGTGGTGTGTTTCTGTATTTATTATTTATAGTAACTAAAGTCTTTGTAGCAACTAAATCTGGGAAGCTGTACTATATAGCTTCCATGTTTGTGCTGGCAATATGCTGGCTTCAGCGTGGAGATAAAAATAGGAGTTTATTTTTCACCCTTCCCTCGCCAGCCTTCAGGCTAAAAACTACTTCTTTCTCTTCCTGCTAGTTGGAATGGCAATAGACAATTTAATATAGTAAATCTCAATTAAGCCTTATGCTTTAGCTTAAAGCTTGTTTCCTTGGAGAATCTGTTAAAGTTGTCAAGGTTGCCAGCCTTAGCAAATAAAAATACAGGACGTCCAATTAAACTTGAATTTCAGATCCACAACAAATAACGCTTTAGTGTAACTATGACGCAAATATTGCAAGGCACACACTTAGAGTAAAAACATTATTCATTATTTATCTGAATTGAACATTTAGCTGGGCATTCTGCATTTCATCTGGCAATTTTAGCTCAAGGAGCTAACCTCTCGGTTGCTTCTAGGTCAAAAATGTCAGGATTTTCTAGCTGATGTTACCAAGGCAAGGCCCTCCCTTGAGAAAGTTAAAGTTTTAATTTCACAAGAACATCAGAACAAACATTTGGCTAATCCTAGGAAGCCCCTGGTAGGCCTTTCTTAAATGGGAGTGAAGAATGAAAAAAAGTAAATTTAGCAAGTTGGATATACATGTGCCATTTGCTTGTTTAACTGTGTTTTACTCCACTATGTGTAATCCTTATTCCATGGTGAGGGTTTGCTTAAAAATAAAATCTAGAATAATGCCTACATAAAGTTTCAAATTTTGGAAGGAGAGCTGCTCAAATCTGTAATACATAATGTACGTGTGCGTGCACGTGTGTATGTGTGTGTGCACACCACGTATTTTTTCAGGCACAAGAGCTAGATGTCCAGGGAGGAGGCCTATGCCAGATGATTGTATCTGCTGACCTTGCTAGCACTGTGCCAAGGGCCTTGTCTAATAAGTTGAATGTTAGTCAAAGGCCACCTGGTGGCAAAAAGTTACATTAAAGGACAACAGGAAAAAACTGAGCTTGCAAAGGATGATGACTAGGAAGAAATTCTTCCTCAGATAAATTTTGTTAAGAAGGGAAGTTGGTGGGTTCGGGGCACGGAAGGTAGATGGAAATGATACTGCACTAGAGAAGCCGGTGGGTTCTAATGGAGTCGGAGGCACAATAAATACAAGACGTTCCAAAGAAGTGAGGTTAAGACAACCTAAACAAAAGTTCCATACCAACAAGAGCTAAGCAAGGGGTAGCTTTAGTCACTAACAGTTCAGCTGAAATACACACGGTGACGAGAAGTGGGGCCGTTTTGTTCTGTGGCAGCCTACGGGTGGCCATCCTCCCATTCATTCCGTACCTAGTATGGCTGGGCCCTGATGTGCTCTGCCCGTGCCACTCACAGTGTTCTCATTTAATATACGAAATCTGTGTCGTTGTCATTGTTAGGAAGCTTTGTTCAGCAACTGACACTATTTCCTATACAAACCAATAGGTGTAACTGAACGATACTATCATTTCCATCCGCTGCTAAGAAACTAATTTCAGGCATGCCACACGATGGTAAGCACCAGAACGAGGACCACAGGGCTGGCTGACCACGCTGTCACCCACACCAGGAGCAGTGTCTTGCACAGAGCAGGCAATTGATAAACAGTGGCAGAAGGAGAATGGCCCCAGATAGTACACTCCAAATCAGTTACTAAATTCAGTATTCTTTAGTACATTTATTTATTTATTACCTAAACCAGAGGGGCATTGTGGCCCAACAACATGTTCCAAATACCAAAACAATGGAATATTTAAACATGTTGTTAGTAAAAAATAAAAATAAGCTTTACTTCCAAACACAAAGGAAAGCAGCCTTAGTGTGAATGTCAAATGCCTCTTTAGTAGGAATCTACTCCTTACAGCCTTGGACTATTAATAGTCAAAAGGAATGGAATTTTCAGGGGGGAGAAAAAAAAAAGAAAGATGGTTTTCAAAGGGAAAAAAAGAAGGTCCTCTCTTTAAACCTGTAGTAACCCGTTTATAGGTTTCAAAGCGACCTTCTTATTCCAAACACCCATCTGGAGAGCTGGAGAGAAGAATGTAGTCACAAAGGGAAACAAATAGTGTAAACTATAAAGGAAACAGCTGAAATCAGTTTTCTGCACTGCCCTTGATTAGCTATTTTCCAGTTCTAAGGGCCCGAAGCAAAAAGAACTGAAATGGCTATAAACAATGGATGCTTTGAAATAGGTTCTCTTTACATGTCATGCAAGAAGAGATGTACCACATGTCAGCAGTAAATATCCACACGGAGGGTCAACGGGAAGTTGGGACCATCTCTCGGGGAGGGGAAGGAGAGACAGAAAAGGAAGGGCAGGGTTGTCGGCTCTGGCTTGGAGGGGACTGATGCATTTCTTCCCCACAGAACCTCCGCCCTCTGGGTGTTTGCTAGTTAAACAACGGAGCTTGTTTAGATTTAAACCTAAAGAGGGTCTGAGGGGTCGGGGAGGAACTGGGAGGGGGGGCGTGGAGAGAAGTAGGTTTCCTATCTGTAAAATGAGAGCACACGGTCACGGCTCATGGTGCTTGAGTAAACTCGTTAAGGACAGTCATCAAGATCATGTCTCTCTAAGGCAACAGGAGGTGCCTGAGCGAGGGGCACAGGAGGAGGAGCCCATGTGGAAATATGGCTAATCTGCTCCCAGACCCACTGCACCTGGAAGCAAAAGTGTGGGGTCTTAGCCCTTCCCCCGGAAACTGAGTGGAAGTGTTAAAATAAGAAGACATAGGACAAACGAAAGTGTATAAAAAAGCCACCATATTGTTTTCTGGGTCAGTAAGGAAGAGAGAGAGAACTATCTCCGGAAGAAAGACCAAGGTCCCCTTTCCACTGTTCCCCAGCCATCTGCCTTAGGGAGAAAGAAAAATAAAACAGAAAACTTTTGTCAGAGTTCAAAAAACCCTGACTTCTATTAGATTCACTTTCACTTTCACTTTAGGGATTCGTTGGGTTTGCTCACTATGGTGGTGATCTGAAAGAATTCAGGACTTGATCTCTAGTAATAATTTACAGACTTGGAAAAATGTGGCCAACGGAGAACAGTCACTTACTTAAAAAAAAAAAAAAGTACTAAAAATAGCTGTAATGAATGTGAGTAAGAAAAAGAAGAAACTATATGGCCTTTGACCATTGTTTTTTTTACAACTTTGCTTTCCTTCCATTTTTTTCTTCTTTTTAGTAGAAGAACAATTTTATTAAGATGAAGGAAAAAAGTAAGAGACGAGCTAGGAAGCTGAGCTTTCAGCCTGGGAGTCATGAAGGAGAAGTAAGCAAGGGGAAAACTGTGTTTGAAGGCCTCAGAGAGAAACTAAAGAAGCAAGCAAGCATCTGAGAAGATGTTTCCAGGCAAATGCGAAATTAAAATGCAAGACGAAAAGCAAGCAAAAATCCTCTTGGGCATCTGGCTGAAAGGTCTGAAAATAATCTTTGAAGAATTCTGCTCTGTTTCTATTGTTTCTTAAAGGCGATTTTTACAAAATTACAATCATGCCTTAGGATTCCAGCCTTCCTTGTCATCTTCTCTGCTGGCCATGTGCACAATTATCAGTGATAAGTTAACAAAGTGGAAAATAGACCGTGGGTGTGCGTGCCTGTGAGTGGGTGTGAACTTCTCACGTGAAGGTATTCTTAAAATGTCTTGAAGAATTAGACCACAAGGACCAATCAGTAATACTTACCCTATTGGATGGATTTCCCTATTAAAATAGAAAAATTTTTGGTCTTAAGGTGGTCAAGAGGGAACCAGGTCTCCTTTTACCTGTATAAATTCCGGGCGACGTCATCCTCATTGACTGCATATCCCTGGGGGTCGTCAGTAAAACTGAAGCCTGTGCCCACCTGAAGGTGAAATGAATACGCAGGTGTGACACAGAAGCACAAGCCTCGGAGCCCTTTGGGAAACACCCCACTGGAAGGGAATCAACCTTATTCCAAACACCAAGCCTCTGACCTTGGATTTTCGCCTCTAGCCCGTTTGCCTTTAGCCACCTTCACAGAAGGATGCTGCATTTCACCTTTTCCCCTTCCCCTCCTCCAAGCCCAAATGAAATCTCAGCATGGGGCGCCTGGGTGGCTCAGTCGATTGAGCGTCCAACTCTTGGTTTCAGCTCAGGTTGTGATCGTGGGGTCCTGAGATCGAGACCCATTGTCAGGCTCTGTGCTCAGTGCAGAGTCTGCTTAGGAGGCTCTCTCTCCCTCTCCGTCTGCCCCTCTAGCACCCCCTCTATCCTGCTCCCTCTCTCTCTCTCTCTTAAAAAAAAAAAAAAAAGGTACAAAACTCTACCCTGGGGTCAGTGGCTGAGCTGTCCTGTTTCCACCATGGGGACCCTGCCAGATGTTGATTTAAGGGGAAAGAATTCACCGTTCCTGGCCCCCATCACAGTATCAAAAGGACCAAAGTTGTCTCCTCTCTGAAACCCGGAGAGTGCTTTGCTTTGTCCTAACAAGAAGGAACTCTCTAGGCTAGAGATAAAAAAGAGAGAGAGAGAGAGAGAGAGAGAGAGAGAGTGTGTGTGTGTGTGTTTTGATTTTTCATTGGTGAGAACCATGGCCACTAAGTCCCTTCACCTTCAGTTGGTAGGTTTTAAAAGAAAGATTAGTTTTAAACTAGTATTTCCTTATACCTAGAAATTCCTAGACAACTAAGCTGTAAAATTAAGAAGAAACTACCACTGATTTTGTGTCAATAGTTTGTATAAGGGATGTATAAGTATTTTTGTTTTTGTTTTCCCAAAAAGCACAAGGCAACAGGATTCTTCATTCAACTTGTGAAATATAAACATGCAGTTATAGACTAGGAAAGAGGCTGTCAAAGTTGGTGCGAAAGGTGGGTAAATGGCTACGTTGGACTCCTTTTTCTCCCTATTTATCTGTTTTCTCTTTGAACCATGTGGGAAGTGAGAGAAATCAGAGAAATTAGGGGGTAAAGATACTCCTGCAGCAGAAGCTGACCCTAAAGTTAGTCTCCTATTTTGATGTTTATTGGAGTCAACTTCCGAAGAACTTCCGAGAATTCCAGTTTTGTTCGGAGATGAGGCTCACTGTGCTAAAGAGAGAGACCAGTTTTTGACTTTTTAAATCTAGAACTCTGTTGGAAAGATTAAGAATTCTAATACTATATATAATACTATATAAAGACCCACAATATGGGAAAGACATAGCATCAGTGGAAAGAAATTAATCCCTTATCGTGGATGGTAGAATGCACTGAACACGACATTTCGTAAGATTAAAAATGAGACGAGAGAAGGTAGCAAGCAAAATTTCCAAACTCAGATTTAAGGATACATGTTAGAAAAACTAAATCCCAAAGATGTGTTTTAATAGATTAAATTCTATTTTAAAAAGCAAAAAAACAAAACAAAAACAAAAAAAAAACCAAAAAACCCCCTAAATCTCCATCCCCCCACCCATTTCTTAAATGTATTTTATAAAAAGAAAAAAGACAGGAGAGGCCCACATTGACATTTCATAAGGCCATCAGATACTCACTGGATTGTCAACGTAAAGCATGGAAAGTGTGGTGGTCCAAGGAAAGTCTCTGGGACGCACTAGCAAAACAGAGAAGAGGTTTGAAACTGGGTCTTCAACAAGGCACCCCACCTAGGGCCCAGCTTTGCTCAGGAGCCAAACAAGCCCACCTGTCCCCATCCTATCAATGAACTCCCGGTGTCCCTCTGACATTGCTTCCTACTCTCACAGTGGGGAAGAGACACCAGTACCTTTTCCTTCTCCTCTCCTCTTCTTTACTTTTCCTGAACCCAGAGAGTTTCTACATCTTTTTCTAGGATGAAGTTTGGAAACAAAACCCTGTGCAACTGGTTCTGTGGAAAAACTCATCAACAATATATAATATAAACCCATCTGTCTGATCCAATCAACCCTTCTTAACATCTAATCCTTCTGAATCCTCTTCCTCCTGGCCAATGCCAAAGAGAACAACTCCAAAAGAACTGGCAGACATGCCTTTTATACCTGAATCACAGGATGGGTCACCCTCCAAATTCTGACCGAGGAAAAGTAAACGTTCTCCCTCACCCCCCAAAAAAATGAGATAGAGGTAAACTGGGGTGATAGCCAGATGTGGCTCCTCTGCTCCTTCCTCTGGCCCCACCCCTACCCACAGCATCTTGCTTCCAGGACAGCTGATCATTTATGCGACTGAACCCTACAGTGTTCATTCTGTGTGAGTAATTAGGGATATAATTCTACCCATTGGTCTCATGCAAAAGAGCTCGCCCAAAGAGTAATAGAAACCAACTGTTTTCACAAGCTCCGATTGCTTGAGTGGGCAGCAGACTGCAGGAAAATAGCTTAGAACTTATCACCCAAATTTCAAGGGAGAAAGCAGCCCAGCCAGGACGCTCACCCTGGTGGCTCCTACTTCTTAGACAGACATCTCCAGAGAGCTATGCTTTTGTCATCTAAAACTATTATGCTCTTCCTTGTGGTTCCAAGTACACCTGAAATTTTTTCTGGAGCAGATATAAGGTTCAGGTGAAAAACTCTCCACAGGAAAACAGAGTCCAGGCAATACTTACAGGTCAGGTTGCTTGTGACAAAATAAGGTCCGTGTTCCACAAAGAGTCCAAACATGGATGAACCTCCGGGCCCTCCCTGCAGCCAGAGGGCCACTGGAGCAACCTCGGGGTCTACCTAAAGAGGACAAAGAAGCCAGTGACCACAGAGAGTACTAAGCAAAAGAATATACTCAGGCAAACTTAACCAGATCCCGCATAGTTCGCTGCCTCGCCTGTATCTCCCAAAGCCTTCCCAGACCCAGACTGCTCTCCCTCACAAGCAAAGTGCTGGTCATCTCTTGTCTTGAGTTAGTATTTGCCGCATAATGCCAGTATCTATCTGGCTCAGTTCAGTCTTTTCCTACTAAGAGCCAGGAAACCCACCGAATATAGAAGCTTCACCTTTGTATGCCCCTTTGTATACAGCCTAGGGCATGCTGGTATTTTTTTTAGCTGTTTCCACTTGCATTGGATCGACATATTCCCACAGAGGCACAGCAAAGAATCCTTCCTCCTCAGTGACGGTCTACTCGTTTCACCAGGAGCCCAGATGGCCTTTCTGATTTGATTCTCTAAAAGGATATACACAAGGACAGCAGCCATTTCCTTCAACACGAGGGACCCAAGAAGAAGTGCACAGGCCCGGAGCAGTTTAGCCAATGCAAACAGCTTCAACAAAACCCCAGGCAAGGTGCAAACTGATTGAGGAGACAGGAAAGAAGTAAGTAAGAAAAAGGTCATTGCCAGGGTTGGGATGACAAAAATGAGCTTTTGGCAGTAGAGTCAATACCATCAACCTCCATGCCAGAAGGTTCTTTACTTTTTTCTTATTTCTTTACATATTTATTGAGCACCTCGTATGGGTCGAACAGCATGCTGGAAGTAGCTACTTAGCAGGGCAGTGAGTGAAACAAACAAATAAAACCCCACTTGATCTCTTCCAGCTTACATTTTCATGGGAAATATAGATCATAAGTAAAGGAAGAAACCCGATGATTAAGGGTTGTAGAAAGGAAATAAAGGTGATGTTAAGGGAGTGGGTGAGGGGGTGCCTGGGTGGCTCAGTGGGTTGAGTGTCTGCCTTTAGCTCAGGTCATGATCTCAGTCAGGGGTCCTGGGATCAAGCCCCACATCAGGCTCCATGCTCAGTGGGGAGCCTGCTTCCCCTTCTGCCTGCTGCTCCCCCTGCTTGTGCTCTCTCTCTCTCTCTTACAAATAAATAAAATACTTTAAAAGAGAGAGAGAGAGGGCAGAAAAGAATAGTGCTTCCTTGAAACACAAGTAATTATGGAAGGACTCAGTGAGATCCTGAACTGAATGAGACCTGAGTTCTAGAACCACCCAGCCGTGAGAGGAGCCAGGGAATGATGCCACAGGCAGAGGGACATGGGAGGGGAAAATCCTCACAACAGAAGAGAGCTGGGTGTGAGAGCGGTGAACGACAGGTCACCTGGTCCTCAGGGAGTCCTCCAGGGCCATCTGGAAGGAGCTCAAAGTGGCTACAGAGAGGCTCACAGTTGGATGTGACAGCGAGCGCTCACTGGGTGTCGTGGCTCATTGGATGTTCAGTCAGCCGCGCTCAGCAAGCAAGGATCTCACTGCTTCAGCTCAGAAGGAAATGCTGCAACCCCCTGCTTAGCCAAGCCACACAGACACCAACCGGTGTTTCATCCAAAGGTCTGAGTGGCCTGGCTGCATCCACATGGACGATGTGAGAAGGAGTGGGCAGAGGCAGACAGACTCAAGGGGAGGCGATCTGGGACACCATCGCCAAGCACCTCGGAGAAGAGCCGAGCACAGGGTGCTAGCCGTGAGAACAGATGGGGAGAAGGATTTCTCTTCTCCAGTCACCAGAAGTCTGATATAGTCCTTTAGCAGCTTCAGAAAGGGGACAAGTGGGCCTTGTATTAAGAGGGGTGGTGGTAAGAAGAGCTGTAAGCTGGACAGGAGCCTCTCTATGAGGGGGCTACCTTGGGGTCCATTCTCTAGTATCAAGGAATTAAATGAGATAAAATTTGTAAAGCCCTTGGAACAATGCCTAATGTCTGATAAAGGAACAATAATTGTTAGCAATTATTACAATTAAACAAACAGGTAGAAAAGGTAGGAGCCCAGAGTCAGACTGGGAACTCAGATAGGAACTCTTAAGAGTTAGCCTGGTATAATGGATAAGTGTGTGAGTCCTTTGCCCCAAACTGGATTCAAATCCGGGCTTTATTGTCCACCAGCTCTGTGGCTATAAGCAAGTTGCATAAGCTCTCTGAACCTCAGTTTCCTCATCTATAAAACAGGGGTCAATAACAGTACTTATGAAAAAAAATAATGGTACTTATGCCATTTGGTTGATGGGTTAGCAGCTGGCTAATCAAATCTACTCTCCAAAGTGTAGTGAGTGGCACAGAGAACGTGTTCTGCACACGTTAGCTATTTCTGTAATAAACACTACAAATTTATAGATGCTTTTAATGTAAACGATCTACAAATGAGAGAAGAGGAAAAATGGGTTGTTGGGTGTTTTTCCTTGCTCCTTTGGCTGATACCTTCCCTGGTTGGTTTTTCACTAGTTAGACCCCTTGCCACAAGGGTCACAAATGTCCATGAAGAATTCAAGAGAACTGGGGCGCCTGGGTGGCTCAGTGGGTTAAAGCCTCTGCCTTCGGCTCAGGTCATGATCTCAGGGTCCTGGGATCGAGTCCCGCATCAGGCTCTCTGCTCGGCAGGGAGCCTGCTTCCCCCTCTCTCTCTGCCTGCCTCTCTGCCTGCTTGTGATCTCTCTCTGTCAAATAAATAAATAAAATCTTAAAAAAAAAAAAATTCAAGAGAACTAGGGACTTGTCGTATAATTTGAAGCAGGAAATACCATGATCACAGGCAGCCTTCTAAGGCTGCTGTGGGGGAGGAAGGGTTTGCCCCGGATTTTTAGCCACACAGACTCTGGTTCTACTTGGCCACAAAACAGCCGTGTAATCCCGGCCCTCCGATTCTTCCAGTCCAGTTTCCTTATCCATCAAATGGCAACAAGGCCCACCTCACAGGCCTGAGGAAACGTATCATGAAAAGATACTGCAGACTCTGCTGGGCTAAATAAATAGAACCAGCTCCACCCTAACCTGCCTGACCCCAACTGTGGGGGCTTTGTTCGAATTGGTGATTTTTAGCTCCCCTTAGACCCTCCAACTCGCTCTTCAATACCACGCACTAAGACCAACTTCCACTTGTATCCTCAGCAGGGGAGCGTGTTAGAGGTGGAGAAACAACGGATCTCAACGAGAGCCGTTCCAGCCTCCCCAGGGACGTGAGATACGGGAGTCCACCCAGTCCAATGGACGCCCAGCCTCCACTTCCTTCCCAATGTGCACAGGAGCTTCTAGAAGCCACGGTGTGGTACATGCGAGCCAGTGGTTCTCAATCTTGGCCAGCCATTAAAGTAGCTTTGTAAAAAAACTGCTGCCTACGCCCAAATCCCAGTGATTCGAAATCAACAGGCATGGACGTTTTTGAAAGCCCCCCATGTGGTTCTGAGGTGGAAGCAGGGATGAGAATCTGTGAGGGCAAAGGAAGTTTGTCCTCCCCGGTGCCCGGGGCCCTCTGGTCTCTGCCCTATCCTCCCCCTCGCTTTTTATGTCCCTTCCTGTGACCTGGCACAATGATGGGACCTCTGGGCTCTCAGAAAAATAGTCTGACCCTGAGAGGCCACACTACAAAGTGAAGTCAAATGCGACGGTGCCAAACATCTTTATTATGCAACTTTGAAGTACCCGACACTGCATTCTTGGAATGCTTCAATAATAAGCGATCAGCACACACACCTTCAACCTCAGCTGACCTTGCTCCTCAAATGTACTTTCCTCAAGGAGGTGAATGAGCTCAACAACTCCTGAAGAAGCCCGTTTTTCAAGAAAATGCCATGCACACATCTTTCTACTTTGATACACCCACTAACCTGTGAACGAATACTGCCCTTATTTGGAATGAAATGCAAAAGTCAGATGCTGGAAAATACAGGTTTACATATTCAGTGCTAAAATCCCAAGAGTTAGTTTTACCACAGAACATAGACTTCTGTCATATGATATGACATCCTGTTGTCATACATAAAATAATAATTACATCAGTAGTAATGGCATAAAGTTATTATGCGCTAATTCACAGGGTGATCTCTTTAGCTCTCAATTGTGAGAATGCAGCCCTCTCTCACTCTCCACCCCCAAGTTAGGAAAGAATAGAAGTAAATGAAGACATCCTGAACAAAACCACATTGCAAAACTTCAGCTCAAATGAAGTAAGAAACAATTGCTCTAATTCATTTACAGATTTACAAAGGCCAGGGCTTTCGAAGTATTTATTATTTTGAAGCTATAATTCAAGAGTGTATGGAACAAGAGAAAAAGGGCATTTATTTTTGCCAAAAGTTTTAGAAATTTTCCTTAAAACTTGTCATGTTATTAAAAAAAGCACTTATTCTTTTTTTTTTTAAAGATTTATTTATTTATTTGACAGACAGAGATCATAAGTAGGCAGAGAGGCAGGCAGAGAGAGGGGGAAGCAGGCTCCCTGCTGAGCAGAGAGCCTGATGAGGGGCTCGATCCCAGGACCCTGGGATCATGACCTGAGCTGAAGGCAGAGGCTTTAACCCATTGAGCCACCCAGGTGCCCCAAAAGCACTTATTCTTAACTAATAGTTTTTTTTTAAGATTTTATTTATTTGACAGAGATCACAAGTAGGCAGAGAGGCAGGCAGAGAGACAGAGGGAAGCAGACTCCCCGCTGAGCAGAGAGCCCCATATGGGGCTCGATCCCAGGACCCCAGGATCATGACCTGAGCTGAAGGCAGAGGCTCAACCCACTGAGCCACCCAGGTGCCCCATTAACTAATAGTTTTTTAAAGGAGGTATTAAAAAAATCCCCATTACTCCACTGATCATGGTCCCTAGAAATGATCATGGAGAGGCTTAATCTTCCAGATTTTTCTCTAACAACCCCCCAACACATACATATATAAATATTTTGTAGATGTCATATATGCCATGTGTGTAAATACCTTTTTTTTTTTTTTCCTGAAAATAGGGCCAGGCCGTATGTAATATCCTACATTTGCTAGAGTCACTTGGCATGTTATGAAAATCTTTTCATAAC